ACTTATTTCCATAATTTTTTATGATTTAAGGTCTGAAAATATTTTTGGGCACACAGTAAAATGTCCCTTTTGATATTTATTTTTAAAAAGTTGAAGTACCGTGGTGTATACTTGTAGTTACATAGCAACGGGAGAGGGATTGGCGAGCGTAGCGAGCGAAAATTTTTGTATTTGTGCTTCTTCTGGTAGCAAATTTAAACGCTCAAGTTTCGTATGAAATGCTTGAAACGAGTGCAAAAAGATGTCCGGTATTGAGCAAAGAGGAGCGATAAGGGCGCGAGCGAAGCGAGCGAAAAAAAATTGAGATCATAAGTGATCTATAATTCCTTAACCGCGAGCGAAGCGAGCGAAATTTTTCTGAGGGTACGCGCTTAGCTCAAAATATAGGCGTATAAATTTTGTTTCAATTGCCAGTTTAAAGTCATTAAAAATAATTGCTTTGTTCATTCATTTTCACCTATGTGACAATGCTGCGCTCGTTAAACGGTTTGCGATGGTAGAAGCAGAAGCCAAATTAAGACAGCTGATGGGACATGCATGTTCGCTCCCTGCTTCCGCATCTTATAACGGCAAAAATGCGGATATACATACAGCCTACCTTCTGGAAATATTTTTTTCTGTTTTTACTCCTTTTCTTTATATTTTTCCCTTTCTCCTCCTCTTTTTCTCTTTCTCTTTCGCTCTCCCTTCTCTTTCTCCCCCTTTCCTCTTTCTTTCCTTCTTTTTTTTAGGGGGCGCCAGATCCCCAGGGGGGGGGCAACCAGCACTTTGCCCCCCCCCCCCAAATCCGCCCCTGATTGGCAACACGCACCGGGTGTTTTTTTCTTAAAAGTAGTGTACAATAAACTGTGTATGGGTTTTTTGCCGCGGAGCAATAGTTTCTTTTTAAAAAATTCCCGAAAACACCCCTATTTTTGGCCTGTTACACAATGAGTTACTATGAGTGGAAACAAGAAAGGGTTAGCACTTGCGCTGAAGTTGATAGTTGGCGCTAGTGGCTAGACCAGGCGAACCATGGCGGACCCCAAAGCAGCCGAAATTATCACTTCGCGGAGGGGTGGAAAGAAGCTGATCTACAACGGTTTCCTGTGGACTTCTATTCGGGTGGTCGCGGGTTCGATGCTCGGCCAGGCATTGCTTTTGACTGCCGAGATGAGTTTGTCGTTATCTCGTCTCCGGCTCGTCGCGAAAGTGTACACTTTCTCGACGAGCCGGAGGCGAGGAAAGGCGACAAAGAGACGAAAGACGTGGGAACGAGCGCGGGACCAGCCGAGCAACCATGTGACCGTCTACCTGAGGACGATTGGTAACCACTTCCAACTCTAAATTCTGTTGGGAAAAACATTTTGGGAAAATTAAAATAGGGAAAAGCTAATTTTTGGAACGTATTTTTGGAAATAAAAAATCTGGGAAAAATGACCGTGAACCCTCGCTAAAATGTATGGTTTTTAATTTTTTTGGTGAAAAGGTTTGCCGTTTTCTACCAGAAAATACCATTGTTTTGTCCTAGTGCGGCCCAAGCGGCCCGCGCGGCCGAATTGAACATGAACATTCATTGTTTAGGAGGTGGGAGAATGTTGTGGTTTAATCAAATTGACATTACTTGGTATGTACGCATAATTTCGCGTCAACCCAGGAATCAATCTTTAGTTGAAGGCCCAGAGAACACGTTTCAAACGTGGATTCGATTTAATATATCAGGTTAAAACGCGGGTAGAGGTTAAAACGGGTTAAAATTCACAACTTCTTAAGTCGAGTTTTGCGAGCAGCTTCGATTTTATGCTGGTTGAAACTGTTTTGGTGCTCACTATTACTTTGTTTTGTCACAGATTATTTCAAATGGTTGCTTTACGATCCATACTTGGTCATCCAGGACAGTCCAATACCATATTTTCCAGTTTCACTGCATTTTATGTCGATTTAGTCAAAAATACAGTTACATAATCTCGATCTCCCGCAATAGGCATTCCAGCTGATCAAGAATATGACGTTTACTCGTCTTTTTCACTTATTCTACTTAAAAACTGCTGCCGAGTGTGTTGCTGGTCGGTTTCTTAATAATTAGTTTCATTTGATCCGAATTAGGTGCACATGCTTATTTCGGATCAGGCAATAATTCACAGACCCTGTGGACTGTGGACCAAAATCTTGATTGCTTCTAGAGCCGGCTTCTGTCAGGCTACAAGATGGCAAAATCGCCATCTTGATCCAAAGCTGATCCGAAATAGGTTCATACGTCCCTATTTCAGATCAAAATCACGTCCATACTCAACTGCCATAACTCCAAAACGAGTGCAGCTACAGACGCCAAAAAAATTGCTTTTGGTAAAGGAAGATCTAACCTTTAGGTGACTTCCTACGCGATTGTTCTAAAACCTGTGTGCTTTGGTATAGGGCGGGAATACAAAAATCTGATCCGAAATAGGTTAAGTCGCTCTAAAGACTCACACAATTTGTCTAGTTTTAGGAAAAAGATTGCATTCTTTCTGGATGTGCACGAATCGGTTCCAAATCTACGGACAAAATTGTCCCTTTACATTTAGAGTGTTGCGTACACGTACACGTACACATACAGGTCTCTCAGGCACATACGTGTCCCACATACAATTCGTATACAAATAGTATACTGACTATTCGGCCACATATATTGGGAACGTGCACTAATGACGTAGGCTATTCGGAGTGTATACGGGATGTACACGGGGTAGTTTTCACGGGAAAGCGTTGGATACATTAAAGTGTTCTAATTTATCGATCCCTACCACGAAGTATTCAAATATCCTGTTAAACACTTGAAAGTGTGCAATATAGGGTTGAGCACTTCCATATGTGCACGATAGTTGAACACTTTATTTATCAGAGTGGGCTCAGCGCCAGCAAATGTTTTCTTTGCCCATACCTTGCTCACATAGAAAAATTAAAACCAACCACTTTCAAGAGATAATAGCCAATTTTCCTCCCTTTTTTAAAATCACTTTTAGTCACTTTTCGCCCCCCTAATAGTCATTTTTGTCACTTATTTAAACCCGTAGTGGCGCTGGCGTCCCTGCCAGCCTGCCAAGGACGCGCCGTCGCCGTCGCGACATCCGAGCCTTCGTGTTGCCTTGTTTCTACAGGGGAGAGAGCAAGGAGGAGAAGGGGGGGGGGGGACGGCACCGGCACGTTTCCTTAGCCTTGGGGATCGTTTAAAAATGCGGGTGGTGTCTAAAGTAGGGATTTGCAGAGAATCAAAGGCAGTTTGTGGTAGGTATACTACTAATAACTCTTATTTTGCTTTCCCAGCCCCAAGACAGTTGCGCCTCGCCGCTTCTGGTGCCGGGACTGCGGGAACATGGCGGTGGACTCCTGCATGGACGGCCACACCGTGACGGCGGCCTCGGCGGCGTTACGCTCCGCACTGCTCCCGGCGGCTAAGCGGGTGGCGCTGCAGGCCGAGGTGCTCAAGGACATCCAGAAGCTGCCCGAGGGCCGAGCTGTGCGTGCCATGCAGGTGCTGTTGGGCCCCGCTGCGTCCTGCACCCTCGCGTTTCAAGACAAGCACCGCAAGTGGCAGACGGACCTGGAGCTGGCGGCAGCGTCCGAAGCGGGTGCGCAGGTGGATCTGCGCCGGTACTATCTTTACGCGCTGCTTTCGAACACTGGGGTGAGTAACTGCTGGATAGGGTAAATTTCTTGCGTTCTTCCTCGCATTCGTAATGAGAGTGTAGGTCCTACAAATTTGGCGATAGCATTCGATGCGAGTACGCGAGTTGGGCGCGCGCCGTGTGCAACGACTTGACTAGTGGGGGACCTCTCGGTTTCGTTGCCTCTCCATAAAGCAGGACCGAGTTGGGATCCATTGCGATAACTAGTGTTTTGCGATTCCCACGCATATGGGTATGGTAACTCCAATAACAGGGTTGCCACGCGTCAGGATAATCATGATAATCAGGATTTTGTCAGGATTTTCCAAAGTTGTCAGGATAATCAGGATAATGTCAGGATTTGGGGGTAAAAGTGTCAGGATAAATAGTTAGTACCAGTTATCGCCCTGATGCTCGGCGCTACAAGTAGCCGAAGCTTCGGCCAGCAGCGCGGCGCTGTGGTAGTGCGCCTCTCTGATTTATTTTTCCTGAAAAAATACCCTATTTTTTCTTCGCCCCTCAAAAATAGCGCTATTTTGCGTTCAACTTGTTCTAAAAATGTCAGGATAAACTCACTTTTTCGTCAGGATCTGGTCAGGAAAATGTCAGGATATTCGGAAGCTGGGACTTCGTGGCAACCCTGAATAAATGTGATAAAGTATCACATTTTTGTGATACAATCATCACAAAAAATGTTATAAAATAAGTTTTGTGATGATTTTTTCACAATAATGTGATACTTCTATCACATTTTTTGGGGTTACACGGGAAAAAATAAGTACTCACTAAAAAGTTCCGAGCCGATTTCAGTGCGAAAATCGCACTTCACGAGTGCGAAAGCTCCAAATCGCACCAGACGGTGCGAAAAGTACTCTTTCGCTCTTCTGAGTGCGGAAGTTGATCATCAAGTGCGAAGTCACGGAGCGGTCGCACTTGTAGGTGCGA